CTCAATACTCAAGATCAGATGGCCGGCCAGGAAGAATCAGCAACAAGGATCTCTGGCAATGAGCGAACCAACACAGCAGGAACCGATTGTGAAACAAATAGGCAGGAAGAAATGGAGGTGGATTGGCTGGCCATACTCTGAGGAAACCATCAAGTGACGTCACTAGACAAGCCGCTGCTCGAGTGGAACCCGAAAGGGAAGCGGGCGGCGAGTTGGTCGTCAGTGCGAGAGTGGGGTGACTTGGAGGAGGTCATATGAAGAGGAGATGAAAGCATGTGGGCAGACTTGGAGCGGAGTGAAAAAGTTGGCAGAAAACCGAAGGCAATGGAGACGCGCAGCTGAAGCCCTATGTTCCTCCAGGAATTAAAGGATATAATAATAACACCTTCCACTTCACTGACCCAAGCAAATACGAGAAGACGTAGACCAGTGTGCGATTACAAGGATGTTTTTACTGATGGAATTTGATTCATGTTCATGCATTTCTAAGACATTAAATCTGGCTATATTAGTATTAAATAAGTTATTCTTGTTGACTGCAGCTAGTCATGGTTTGAACGTTGAAGTGAATAGGTTAAGCGATGAGTTCCAGTGGGGTTATTGTATCCAGATCTGAAAAGATCTCTTACCCCTGCAACCACTGGCTTCGAATATTGATTAGAATTTCGGCCGCTTCATAGCAGAACCTGAATTGTGATCTATTATAATTATAGAATTATTTCCTTGCGTTCCGAGTGGAACATAGGGTTTCAACAGCACATCTGAGGATAAATGTATTAAAACCAAAATTGGACATCATGATAGTACGAGGTATATGTGTTGCATTATACATTGCAAATGAACGTTGTCAGCCTAGGGAGTTTTCTTTTTTTAATGCATTTATTAATGATACTTGCACTTACCTATTTCATTACAATTTAATGATTCACCTCAGCACTTTTACTTTTCTAAAACAGCTTTCAATCCCTTGTAAACGTTGTACTTACCTCAATATTGGTTGGTTATCGTATGCCGACAACCACGGGATGAAAACGAAACGAAGTCGATTTTCCCGCTCAACCTGGAGGACAATTGTACAATTCAATAACTATACAGCCTAGTTCAGACAATGTGTATTTATATATATATCAAATATTTAACTGTTGAAACATTATTAACTTGTAGACAATCTACGATTTGATACTATATCATACTTGATCGTGCCTGTAAAAATGGCATGCATTTTCATGTAAATTTATATGTTTATATGAGAATATACATTATTATTATTATCTCCACTTTGTCCTATCTTCTGCTGTCGTCTTTGGCTGGGTCCACGGTTGACCAAACTCTCCAATCGCTTCCTCACACGATGTCCTTCGTGTCACCCTAGCACTACCCACTCGTCGCTTCCCACCTGGATTCCACTCAAATGAATGGCGTGTGATGTCATTCAGCGGCCTCTTCAATGTATGCTCGGTCCATCTCCAATTTCTCTTACATATTTGTTGAGTGATCGGCTCTAGGTTGATTTGTTCCCATAGTTTCCTGTGGCTTATTCTTTGTGGAAATTTCATCTTCAGTGTGGAGGAAGTGAAGGCAGATGTTGATAAAAGTGTCCAGTGGCTTGTCGGAGATGCTTTCCATGACACAATGCAAGTTTCTGACCCGTATAGAATAACCCGTTTCACATTGGTGTTGAAAATGCGAATCTTGTTTCTCAGGCTGAGTGCAGAAGATTTCCAAACTAGTTCCGGATTGATGAAGGTGTATCTTGCTTGCCTTTCCGATTTCGACTGTGGCATCTTCGTCTGTTGCCACTGGCTTTAGATGAAACGATGCTTCCTGGCCAGATAGGTGAAGGAGACAACCTCTATTAAATCTCTCCAGTTGGTGGTGATTGGTGCTGGTTGTTGTTGTTGCTGCTGTTGGTTGGTTATTTTCATCACCTCCGTCTTCTCTGTGTTCACCTGCAGTCCTATTTTCGCTGTAGACCTCTTCAACCAGTCTGTTGGTTTTCGCTTGAAAGTCTTCGAGTTTCTGTGACAGTGGACATATATCAGCCACGCGCCAAATTAAGATCTTCTAGAGTCTTCTTATCGGTCGTCCAGCGTAATCCTGTCTTCTCGCTCCCCAACAGTCTGACGCGTAATCCAGTCCAACACAATTAGGAATATCATTAGTGATAATAGATAACCAGCTAGTCTTCGAACGCTTCTCTGAGATTCCCTTTGTGGATCACTTGACACGTGGCATCTTAATATAGCTGTTGAATGAGGCTGACAAAGACTTTAGGCACGCCGCAATGTTGAGGTAGTTACCAAATTACTTCTCAGTCTACGCCGTCTGTCGAAGGCCTTTTCGAAGTTGAGGTGGAGTGAAGTTTGACCACCAGTCTATGCTTTGTTCTGTAATGGCGATGTGTAGAGTTCAAATTTGATCAGCACATGATTCGCCTTTCCTGAATCCAGCTTGTTCCGATGAGGCCGGTGGAGTTGTGCATCCAGTGCGTCTTTATATTCTCTCCGAGATGATGTGACTTAGTATTTTACTTGGTGTGGACAAGAGTATTATTCCAGGTCAGCTGTTGCACAGGCCTAAGTCACCCTTCTTTGGCAGTTTGACGAGGAAGCTCTTCCTCCAGTCAGTGAGCATCTCTCCTTCTTTCCAAAGTTTTGCATCAGTGAAGTGAGAACATCTGCTGTAATCTCTTGGGGCGTCTTCATGGCTTCTGGAGGAATTCCGATTAGTCCTGCTGTCTTCTCGACCAGTATTCAGTAGCTTGATCACATTCAGGATCTCTCTCGTTGGAGGAGTGGTGTCCACTGTCATTTCCGTGTTTGCTGTTGATGGTATTTCTGGGCGCGATGGCGGTGGTGGTCGATTCAAGAGTCCTTTAAATTGATCAGTCCATGGTTCGATTTGTTTCTCCTCCTCCTCGGTAGTCAGGTTCCCTTGAGCATCTTTCATTGGTTTCATCATCTGGGTTGATCGAATTGTGATCTGTGTTCAGCCTGAACTCTGTCAACTTGATTTCGACGGTTCGACAAACTAGATTTTGAAAGATACCGGTCTGTGTATGCTCCTGTTTAAGATCTCGCACCCACTAAGCCGAGTAACAACTTTCTTGAGACTGGGATTATGTCTTCTGGACTTTTGGTGTGTCAATCCAGTGAGAGGCACGTCGTACCATGAATATCCTTGTAAATGCACGCGTTGCTGAAAGATACCATATCATTGGGGGTTCAGAAGTCTGAAAATTCGTCATTCATGTTACCAACCATCTCTTCGCCTATAGTGAGTTCATTCGTTTTGATTTGAATCATGGTGCCATGACCCGTGTAAGGTCGTTTCTCACTGACCATATGGCCTCTAGGAGGCCCATGGCGATACCATGATGACTGAACAATTACTGTGTTCTCTCCTGTCATCTAGGTGGCTGTAGTTGACTATAGACTTTGGGCTGTCCGCTTCGGTCCCGTCTGCACTCTCAGACTCCGAGCACCTATATATCTTATCCTCCTATCCCCACAATTGCTTGATGACTGGTCTCAATTACTGTACGGAAATTCAATTCCACCGGAATTATTTGACATGCCTAAACCCAGCGGAGCACAGGCCTCTCTTTTTTGTGCTTTGTAGTTTGACTAGTGATAGTGTTATTTTAATAACGTTTTCTAACAGCTAACCTAACATTCTTCTCCTTCGCTTGGCATTATAAACGGCTAGTAAACGTGGGGAAAACCGAAGCGTAGTTTATAGGAAAACACTTGTGTCTGGCAAATCTCTAGTGAAAAGAAGGCTGGATGAAGTCTGGAGATACGCATCAGATATATCTGTACATATCCCAGAAAATTTTTCAACAGGTGCCTCGTACTGAACTGCACACGAGACTGAATACTTTTGGATTCACAAGTGGTGTGCTGAAGTGAATAACCCCCCTTCGATCTGTTGTGTATTCTTACGAATTAAACAGGCCGACGAAATTTTCTAAGATACCCCACACAGCTGAAACAAGAATTATGAGAGACCTGAAGGACGATTGTTATATGTGTACCCAGAAAGCGGATCTCAGAAATCCCATTGATTGATTAAAAGGAAAAATGCTTCAAGCAAAAATGGGCCATGAAATAATGATTATAATAATTTGTTTTGTTCCAAAACTGGAATTTTCAGCATTTTATTACAGTATTGCATCGAGTAAGTACATCACCAATGAATAAAATTCTGCATGGATTAAGGAAATCTCAGTTCATTATGACAACGACATATTGGCATGTCGGTAGCAAAGCCAAAATTAAACAAAGTGTTTGAAGGTGTTAGAAAAGTAGATGCTAGCACATTTACTGGCGTAAGCGGAAGAAAGAAACAAAGCAGCACATAACAGAAAAAAAGGAGCGAGAGAGAAAACGAAAAGAAAGAAAGAAAACGTTGTACCTAGAAATGATACGAGTTGGGAAGACGACAGCCAGTTTTTGTACTGACTCTTTAGTAATAAGAGCCCATGCGTGGGAAATAAGGGAAACGATTCTCCACTCGGTTCAAACTGACACCAGCCTAGGTGTCATAGTATGCCACCAGTTAGAAAGCCTGGCGAGCAGTTACAAATGACTGCTACGGGCTAATACTAAGGCTGATTTGTTACACGAAGAATGACCAAAGGGACTACATCTTTTCCCCTTTTTATACCACCGACAAAGAGAAGATGTAATCATGCTGGTAGAAAAATGACCACGGACTTGATCAATATTTAATTTCCCATTTTCATCTGGTAAGAACACTTTTAAGAAAATAACAAGAGTTAAAACACTATGGATGAATTATATCACCCGTGGATTACTGTCCTCCTACAGATCCATTAATCTACGATGTAGCTAACTGGTATCTCTGACTTCAATCGCCTTACTCAACAGGAGAGTAGATGAGAATACATATAGATAATGAAGATCTTACACTGACTCGAAGGATTCCACCCCGACCAGAATCCCAACATAAATGAATGTAGTTTCTACCAAGAAACGTGCAGCTAGACGAACGCAGAGTAGTAGAGCAAACTTGATTCATTTAACAATTCATGTATTCGACTTCCAGAGTGTTTCGACTATTGGCGTCACGGCGCGTATATGAGATTGATGTAAGTTGAAGTGGCAGTTTGCGTTATTGATTTTTGGATTGTATCTCCGTAGCTTACTGACGTCCCTCAGTGAGAGCGTCTCAATATTGAAAAGCTCTTTAGAATATTATTAATATTTATGTTAATCATAAATTGGTCCTGCAGGCCGTGAGTAGAAGATGAATTGTTTCAGCGGAATAATCGATTGTAATAATTGGCTTCCTATTTGCAAACTTCTGAGACATTTTTGTCACCTATAGTTTTATTTTGTAGCTTTCGCTTTATTCAAGTTGTTAAGGGGAAAAACGCATCAAACTTTGTTGTCAGTTTCCTGTTTACTTGACTGATTTCTCCTTCCTGACTTTTCCTACACCGGAAACCGTATAGACTAGGTTTATTTCGCCATCGAATAGCTGAAAGCCTGGAGAGCTGCAGGATGCAATGAAATTCTGTCAGAACCTATCAAAATTCACCGAGAGACCGGAGCAGATTTGATCGGGTCACCACTAAATGCTTGGAGTAAGGAAAGAAAGAAAAGTTACCCGATGATGGAAAGGAAGGCTACCCTATCAAAATTCCCAAAGAAGAGTGAATTCAAGTTTTACAAGAAGTGGCATGGAATCCTGCTCCTCCAGACTCCAATCAAAACATTTCATGTCATCCTGTTGAGATTAGAAGTTGCTCTGGATGCAAAACTCCATCCGGAAGAAGCTATTTATGGGAGGTGAAAATCATGTTCGGACCAAATTGCAACGCTACGCATCTTAATCGAAGAGAGCGTAGAATAGCAGTAAAATCCCTGCATCAACTCCATCGATTTAGGAAAAGTCTTCGACTGCGTGAATCGTGAAGGAAGTAATTCGGAAACTGCTCCAACACTGGGGACTGCAGCGGTGCAAACTTTTATAAACCCCACCGAGAATCTACATGATGACCACACATGGTAAGTGATTCATACATAGTGGGAGGCTGAACGAAGCTATTCGAGTAAAGGCAGGAGTGCAACAAGACTAACTGACTGGTATCAGCGATGAAGTGAGTGGTTGTGGCGGACTGGATTAAGCGACAGACCGTGCATTGAGATCGAGAATACAGTGATGTGTTGGTGTAAGGTCGACGAGAAGATATTGTTAGATCTGGACTTCTTGGACGATTCATGTCTGATGTAACACACAGTCGGAGATGCACAAGTGAAAAGCAAGGAGTTGGCAGCAGAGACAGGACTTCGAGTGGACATGGATAAAACGGAGGTGATGATACCCTTAAACAATGATGGCCGCAACAACAACGGCAATAAGAAGAAGAAGAAGAAACGTTGATGGCTATGATTGCGAGGAACGTTGCGAATTCGTCTCTCTTCCACTCCCTCACTTGGACGGCTTCGTTTTAGCTGTATGTGGAACACTCCAGGATGTCACTGCGAGTCAGAATAGTATAGGGAGGACAAGAGAGACGGTGTTTCATTACATTTTGATCAGTCTGGAGATCTACACCACTGAGTAAAGTAGGAGAAAGAAGTAAAGTTTTGACGCCAATGTCAAGTGAGTGGTTGTGTATGAATAAGAGAGATGGTTCCTCCTGAGGGGAAGTATTTCCAACAGCCTACTGGATGCTTTCACCGAAAGGTGCTTTCGCTTCATCCTGACGATCTGATGGCCGTCCATGACGGATACCCTAGAAGTAACTGGCGAGCACTGAATCAGCCAAGAACCTATGACCAAATTGGCAGTCATCGCGAAGCAAATGGAGATGGATGTAGATGGACCGGTGACCAGAAGTTAGCTTTGTGGTGTGTTCTTGTTTCATCTGCTTCCGTTTCCATGCACAAGTGAAGTGTGATAGTTGGTGATTTGTTGAGTTTCTAGGTGATGGCTTGCATGGAAGTGCAAGAATTGAAGTTTGAGCATGCGTGTGTGGAAAAAATTAGGAGGGACTATGATCAGTGGAATTTTATGTGTTGAGGAAAAGTATGTAGATAGTAATGATAATTTAATGTATTTGATAGTTGGTAAGAGGGAGAGTGCATGTGACCCATTGAGCAATGTTTCGAACCTTATCTACAGTTAACTCTATGACTTTCCCTTACTAGCTGGGCGCGGTCTCTAAAGAGACTGTTAGGAGACGTCACACTTAAGATTCCATCTGTCTGTCTGTCTGTTTTCGACATAGAACTTTGCACAAATGTGCGGAAGTTCAAGTCGCCACACTCCGTGTAGCACGCGAAGCAAGAGAAGAAAGTACAAGAAAAGCATAATAGAAACAGTGAGCAGAGGTGTGAGACAAAGGAGTAATAAAGAAAAACAAAACAGTTTCATTGGAGATCATAAGTCACAAGGAGTGGATGCATCTGCGCCAGTGAGAACGATTTTGAGCCATGTCACCAATTGTTTCCAACCATAGATTTTTACCGTCCCGAGGACCCCAGCCTGGAAGTCTACACCTTCCTACGTGGCTTAGACCAACTGTTGTGGATTTCATTGACTGGTGCCAAGTTTTTGTTTGACCGCCGCTAGCTTTTTTCCAGCCTGACCCTATATCCGCTAACATTGCTCGTCGAGGGAGGCGATGGCTTGGCATACGTAACACATGTCCTAACCATCTCAGTCTTTGTAGCTTCACGACTTCGTCGATTGATTTCCCCTGTTTACCTAGAACTCGACGCCTAACCTCAATGTTGCTCACCTTATTATGCCACTTTACACGGGAAATAGAGCGCAGGCACCTATGATCAAAGACAGCTAGTCTTTTCATGTCTTCCACTCTCAGTGGCCAGGTCTCACAACCATAAAGGAGGACGGAGCGGACTGATGAGCAGTACACCCGCCCTTTGGTCGATAGTCGAACATCTCGTCTACGCCAGAGTCGGCGTAAACTGGCAAATGCGAAACGAGCCCCCTGTATTCGTGCTGAGATTTCGTCAGAGATCAGCCCGTTGGGGCTGATGGTACTTCCCAAATAAGTGAAGCGGTCAACGTGCTCTACCACTTCACTTCCTATTTTTAAACTAGGCGTCGATGTAGTCCAGTCCTGTAACATCATCTTGCATTTGGCGGGAGCGAATCGCATGCCAAACATTCGTAGATTGCGGCTCAAGGTGTTTAGAAGACTCTGCATTTCGTCAGCGTCTTCGCCTAGAAGGACTATATCGTCTGCATATTCCAAGTCAACGAGATTATTCCCCGGTAGCAAGTCAATCCCTGAGTCGCTGAAGTCACCTAGGGTTAAGTCCATTAACACATCTATGATGAAGTTGAATAGAAAAGGAGATAATGGGCATCCTTGACGGACACCACTGGTCGTCATCAGTTCAGATGACAGCTCGCCGTAAGCCCTCACCTGGCTGTATGAGTACGAGTAGAGTGCCTTAATCAGTGCAATATATTTTCTCGGAATTCCCTTTACAGCCAAGCATCTCCAGAGAACTTCCCGATCGACAGAGTCGAATGCTGCCTTTAGGTCAAGAAATATAATGACTGTTGGACGCCGGTAGGAATGCCTATGTTCTAGAATCTGTCGGAGGGTGAAGATATGATCAATACACCCTCTTCCTGGTCTAAAGCCTGCCTGGCTCTCTCGTGTTTGTGCTTCCCGAGCACCACTCAGTCTACGCATGATTATTGAGCCTAAGACTTTAGATACTATATTAGTCAAGCTAATCCCTCTGTGATTATCACAGGAAGACTTGTCTCCCTTCTTGTATATGGGGATAATCAGTGACTTACACCAACCCGATGGGACTTCTTCTGATTCCCAGACGCTGCCTAGTACCTCAGTTAATCCGGACAGTAAGCTGTCTCCACCGTACTTAAATACCTCTGGAGTCATTCCATCAGGTCCCGCTGCTTTGCCTAGTTTCAGATTGGTGACAGCTTTAGTAACCTCAGTTAGGGACGGAGGACCTGTGTCTATATCCCATTCAGGGAGGTGTTGGATGCTCGGAAGGTTGAGCGTGGCTGTGGGCAAATTAAACTGCTCCTCATAATGCTCTTTCCAACGATCCAGTCGTCTATCCTGGGAGCTAATTATAGTGCCATTTTTTTCCGAGATTGTCTCACTAATGATTTGTCTTCTCCCACCCGTTTCCCTGATGAGTCCAAAGAGTTGCCTGGTGTTGCCTATCCTCGAAGCTTTCTCCATCTCTTTGGCTTTTGTCGCCCACCACTGTTCACGGTCCTTGCGGAGACTTTTCGTAAGTTTCCTCTTGTGCAGCTTTCGCTCCTCATTGAATTCGGAGCTCGCCGGAATAAGTCTTCTAGCATCTATCAGTTCGGATGAGGCGGTGGAGATCCAGTGGTTTTTACTCACCTTTGGGTTTACCTTATTCACAGCTTTTACAGCTGTATCTATGGCTGCCTGGATATTTTTCCAAGCTTCTTCAGGGTGAGCACAGCTGTCGAACACAGATATGTGTTTAGCTAGTTCTTCCTCAAATACGGATTTAGTTTCCTGATCGAGCTGGGGACGTGATGGTTTTACCGCCAGCTGTTTCCTACGTCCGTTCAGTCGTAAGCACACCCGAGCGCGGACCAGTGCATGGTCGGTATCTACGCACGTGTTCCAGAAGGAGCGACAATCTCCTACCGACCCACGCCAACGATAGCTTATTGCTATGTGGTCTATTTGTGTCCAGCGTTGGTTTGATGAAGGGGGTCTCCAAGTCAAACAGTGTCTCTCCTTGTGTTTAAAGTTAGTGCTTACAAGAAACAAATGATTATCAGAGCAGAACTGTAGGAGACGGTCACCGTTGTCGGTTCGCTGGCACGGAACTCCATAGGTGCCACCGACATCCTTCTCAGATTGACACAATTTCCCTACTTGAGCGTTAAAGTCACCAGCTAGAACGACTATGTCTGAGCGTTTAGCCTTTCGCACCAAACTAGACAGCTTTTGGTAGAACTCATCCTTCGTTTCATCTGAACTGCAGTCAGTGGGGGCGTAGGCGGAGATTACGAAAAGGCATCGGCGAGTAGTGCAGTCCTTCCTCCTTCTTACTGATCCGTTCAGGCGGACAGCACACATTCGGCTATCTACCGGGATCCAGTCAAGCAATGTCTTTTCTGCCCTAGTACTCAAAGCTATCCCTACGCCAGCTAATCCTCGTGAACTAGCTGTGGCATCTCCTGACACCCTCAAGGTGAATTTTGCAGATTCAACCTGTTGGCCAGGTGGGGTTAGGTGAATAACCACACTTGGGTCTTGTATGCGTGTTTCTGAAACACAGCATACATCAATGGCTCGTGATGCCAGGGTCTTGGCTAGTGATGCTTGTTGTCCTATTTGGCAAAGTGTCCTAACATTAAGAGCTCCTATATGAAATTGGTGGCGCGGCTTTAAGAGGCTGTCGGTGGTGGTTTTTTGGCTTCCATCGTTTTTAGTGGACGCAGAGTGGAGAGGAAGTGGAGAGCTATCAAGTCGAGGAGTTGCATCAGTGGAAGGAAGGCAAGATGATAGAGATGAAGATGAAGACAAAGATGAGTGAGTAATAGAGAGGTTTCGTGTGCATTTCGGATTGTGAGGGCGATTGTTACTTCCCGGCTGCCCACACCGTGGAAGTTGGTTGCGTGACCGCAGAGCCCAGGGGACAACTGCTTGAGGCCGGTCACACGCGGCCTGTTTTTGTTTGTTCTCTTTTGTTTGGTGTGTCTCAGTAGCATATTTATCACTCCTGCCCTGTGACACGGCAGCAGGAAGCGCGGTCGTTGTTAATCCGGGCCACGGCCGATCCGGCATGAAATTTTCTTAAGATTTCATAGTTAAATACTGGTTAAACATGATGACTTGGATGTCTCCAGTGCCTTGATCGAGAAAGAGCGATTTACTTGGAACTAAAAGAATATGGGCAATCATAGAGCTAAAATAAAAAAGATTTTCAGAGTTAAACCTCATCCGCTAATACTCTTGAGGCTTATTCGATTCGTTGCTGTAATGACCTTGCACACCAGTGTGGATATCGATACATAAAAAGCCACCATCGTTTCGATGGGTTTTGCTGGCTAGAAATATGTTATGGCTACAAAGTCCCAGCTATCGTCAGTGCCTGATGTGCGACCACTCATTCAACACTGACCAAATAAGCGATTATTTTCTGGGCCTAAAGTCCTGACCTGCGTCTAACAGTAAGATACATTTGTAGCGAGCCTGGTGTAAGTCACCCAGATGGTACTAGAATAGTGTCTGGATTTATACCAGTGTGTGTAGGCAGAATGCTTCTCCGGCTGTCTTCCTTACCTAATATAACCTTACCCGACACCATATAGATGATTGTCATTGGGTACATACATAAAGTAAGACATTTTTGTCTTTAACACAGTGTAACTCCGAGAGAAAAGATGGATGCGGTAATCATAAGGCCTCAATATAAAGGAGCTGACAAATTGGGAATTTTTTTAAAATTAGTTATCTGGGATCCTGTATACAGACGTCCTATGTATATATATAGTTGGCCCTTCCAGGATTCTTGCCAAGTCTTCCTGTCGTCCTCTTTGAGTCAGTGTAGGAATAGTGTGGGTGATAAACTTCTATACTCCAGGTGGTGTAAGAATAGTCGTTCCATGTGTCGTATTGGATCCTGGCTTCAAAATCAACCTTTTAACAATCTAACTTATGCAGATAGACTGAGACTTCAAAGTATGAGTAGCAGCTGACGAAAGTAAGGATAACAAAAAACCCAGATGACTTATAAAATAAGGCAGTACTTGTATGGAGATATTAGCAGAAAAATGATACGAAACTAAATGACTAAACATCCTGCTAATGGATTAAAATATTCAGTAGTTCGTGGAATCAAAAGGCCGAGGTGAACCTTTGGTTGAGTTGTTTCATATTGGTGTGAGACCTGATATACTGTACCAACATCAAGACTGATGCAAAGGGTTGTCGTAACGGACCACTTCTCAATTCCCATACTGGAAGTTAGGTCCACAGATCAGGAGATATGTCACGGTCACCGGTACCAAGAAGGTTTTACACACCATTCATCTCCGGATTCTGTGTGATCTAAGTTATTTTGATGGTTTATAGAGCTTCACAGTTGTAAAGTTCCATCAAGTTTTCTATTTCAGTATGCTTTCCGTCCTCATGTTTTTTAAATACACCTCTGGTTATGTTCATTAACTATTGTGTTATCACCGTTAATTCTATCTAAATTCTTGGGAACATCAGCCTTTTTTGTATCTGACAGTATTCACTCTTGGAAAAATGTCAGGCTTTATCACAATAAGCTTTTCATCTCCCGAACATTTTGTATGAAGGTTATGTAGATTCCCTCTTATTTTGGTGTTTCATGTCTTGTTTTGTATACTAAGTACATTGTTTTTGTAATTGCAGGGAAAAAACTGGATCATCTCAAACAGACAAAAGTGATTTTGCGCTTTTGTACTAATAGATTCGTAGAACATGTTGCAGATACACCGGAAGTGTCAGATGAAACTGAAGAGGGTGAGGTCGACGATTGTTCTGATCAGGAGGAAAATGTATCAGGTACGAAACTGAAATGGGTTGAAATTGCTTAAAGATCCTCCAAGTGACTGTAACGTTTCAAATTCGAACGACCACCACTCTTCGAACCCTCAAATCAAAAATGTTTCTAAACTGTCCAGTGTAGATGTCCCCAAGCTACACAAAAATGACTCTTCACAGTCAACTCTCAGTACAGTTATTCCATCAAAGCCAACATATGAAAGTCCTAGCAATTTCAAAGAGAACATAAACCATATACAACATACACCTAATGAAAAGCAAATTACTTCTAATCACACAAAACATTTCAGTAAGCATCGGCATTTATTGATTTCGTTTTAGCTCCACGAACGTCGGAGGAAGTTGAACCACTGCATATTCCAGCGTCTGCTTCACCATCAAACAATCCTCTTGAAGGTCTGAAAAATTTGGAAAAGGTACAACTTCAAATGCAACTAGCACTAACTAAAATTCAGGTAAGTTAAGCATATATCAGTATGATTAACCACTTAGTTTTCTACCATTTTACTAGGCGTCAGTACAAACTAGTCATAAAGAAGTGTTGGATTTGGTGTGTATTCAGTGTACTGTGTCAATGTTCGTGAAACAAAACGATATATTTGCACTCAATAGGTTTTCGTTGTAGTCTAACTTGTGTAATATCAAGGCATGCATTAAGGTGAATCATCTCAAATATATCAAACTCAAACACTTGCACTGCTTAGTTTTCAAGTCGTAATCTTACCCTATTTCATGCTGTGAATTCTTCATAAAGCTACTCCAGTGGATCGGTTATGATCTCAAGAAACAAATATTGCTTCATTAAGATGGATTCTGTTGTCTATGAGCCACTATTCTTGCAAGTATTCGATTGTTGGCAGTTGTAGCAATGATTCGAATGCATCTCATATCAATTTCTAACATTGATGGAATCATTTTTGCAGTTCTTTATAAGGTCTCGTTTCAAATCCCTACGTTAAATCATACCATTTGGTTTCTGTTAATATGCATAATCTCTTCCTGGTTTAAATTTCAGATGGTACCCACTTCACTGGCTGATTTTAAGTATTGAAGACCTGGTTTTAAAAACCCAGAAGTGTATCCGTTTAGCTTCATGTTTATATGCAATTAGCTTCATTGTCATCCGAAGTGTGCTATTTATTATTGTTGTTATTCTCCTTGATGAAATACAGTGCTTCAGCACCAAATCTCCCTTTCTCTGCAATCCTCCTTACCTAGCTCCCCGATTCCCCATAAGCTTTCATTCCCACCTCATACAATCTCCATGTCATTCTCAGACACCTAACTCGTCATTCCCAATTTACGCTTCACACTAGGACCTGGCACGTGACAACACGTGACAGTGTCCTTAGTGTATATCCATTCCCTTTTCCCATATACTTCTGAATGTTTATGTGGTTTGGCCTTAGGTTCTTGGTTGATTTGCAGCTTGCCAGAGTTCCTTGCTGTTCATTCTCTGGCTGACCAATTTATATTGGGTATCAAGTCAGCGAAGTACCTGTTGATAAAAGTCTGCAACAGTCTGTTGGAAATCCTCGTCACGCGCCAAATGTGTCGGTCATACAAAAGCAACCATTTGATACTGGTGGTGGAAGTCTGGATCTAGTTACTTGTGCTAAATGCAGCAGATTTAGAATTGATTTCCGAGTATTAAAGATGTGTCATGCTTTTCCGATTTTCTCATCTGTCGTCTTTACCCGTGCCACCTGTATTTGAAACGATGCCGTCCAAGTGAGGGAGTGGAAGAGAGACGAATTCGCAACGTTCCTCGCAATCATAGCCATCAACGTTTCTTCTTCTTCTTCTTATTGCCGTTGTTGTTGCGGCCATCATTGTTTAAGGGTATCATCACCTCCGTTTTATCCATGTCCACTCGAAGTCCTGTCTCTGCTGCCAACTCCTTGCTTTTCACTTGTGCATCTCCGACTGTGTGTTACATCAGACATGAATCGTCCAAGAAGTCCAGATCTAACAATATCTTCTCGTCGACCTTACACCAACACATCACTGTATTCTCGATCTCAATGCACGGTCTGTCGCTTAATCCAGTCCGCCACAACCACTCACTTCATCGCTGATACCAGTCAGTTAGTCTTGTTGCACTCCTGCCTTTACTCGAATAGCTTCGTTCAGCCTCCCACTATGTATGAATCACTTACCATGTGTGGTCATCATGTAGATTCTCGGTGGGGTTTATAAAAGTTTGCACCGCTGCAGTCCCCAGTGTTGGAGCAGTTTCCGAATTACTTCCTTCACGATTCACGCAGTCGAAGACTTTTCCTAAATTGATGGAGTTGATGCAGGGATTTCACTGCCATTCTACGCTTTGCAATTTGGAATCACTTGTTGTCTTGCATGGCGGATTTAATTTTAGTGCTCACTATTCGTTACCCATAATTATTTTATCACTAAGTGATGAAGTTCGCCTTTTAACAGGTGGAGTTATGAAGTCTTAGTATTTTTTGATTATATGTATGCTTCAAATGAACTTATCTTCTTGAATAGAGTAGCATCAGCTTCCGTGATGATTACCATTAGTTAGTTCGATTTTAATTAGTCTTTTCTAGTGCTGAGTGGTATTTTGGTGTCCTCTATAACTGTACATTTGAATATGCGGAATTCATTACTCCTTAATTCGTGAAATTTGATCTTTGTTTCAGAAAAGTGACAACAACACTATTCCGTATCTACCGTTCTCTCCGCCAGGTATGTTTGCTTTTTTGAAATAAGATTTGTGTATGTCGCTTTGGTGATGATTTTATCTTTTCTTTCAATCACCTTTATGGAAAAGACTATTGTTCTACTGTAGCTTTACGGATATTACAATATATTCCCAGCCAGCAAAACCCACTGACACACCCGTCGTTATAATGCTGCTGGCGTCCTATCATAACCACTTAATCATTGACTCAAATACGTCAAATCGTTATTATCAGTGAGTGTCGTAGGTATTTGTACAACTGTGGTTTTTCCTGCGTCGTTTTCCTTTATTCTCATCGTGTTTTAGTAATGCCAGTTTAGCTTAATGCATCTACTATAGCGACCAAATGCAAGTCGAGCCAGATTTAGGACAAAATATCGATTATTTACAGAGTTTTAGTATGCTTTCGTAAGGAGATAGCAAGCAAACCTCCTTGCGTTATCAAAGAACAACTCGCTAACAAGCAGTGCGCATTAGTCTGCTGTGGTGGGTAGCAAGTACAATATGTATGGGACCAAAGAATGCTACCCTAGGTTCTGCAAAGCTTTTTTTCCTGGGTGAACAGGAAACTCATCTCCGGACTGGTTTTCTAAAGGCTTCTATTCCACCTAGAGTCCTATAGGTTGCCGCTACGAATTCCGTGGGATACTGTATTTTGTGACAACCTTTCACCCCATTTTAAAAGGTGGGGCGTGCATAGGTAATACGAGGAATTTGTGTTGGATTACCATTTGTTTCTGTATGCCGGCTGGTTTGTGGGAAGATCAAGTTATCCCAAGATTTTAATCAAACGTTTGTGACTATTGTGAACTTAAATTGTTTTAACTGTTGGTTTTATCTTCATTTATTCAATTTGTACATGTGAACTAAATAAGCTTGAAATTTGTGTTATTTGTCCATTACATTAGTGCAAACTGTTACCTCAAGTGTTCCATCCACTCTAGTAACGTCAGAATCTAATAACTGCTTCAATTCATATACATCTTGGCAAGCAGCTGTTCCTTCCTCAACATCTTTTGGTTCTCAGCATGAAATTATTAATGTAAGAATTATTATTATTATACCAAAGACTATCTGTGCATGACATTGAATGTTAAGTGACACTATCTTTTGAAACTATTTTGAAGGTATATCAGATGCATTTTAAAGCTAAAAAGTTGTGTAAAAGTCTTTAAGATGTGGTTTCCGAAGTTTGTGACGGAACTGACTTTCCAAAATCATGGGATTTATAAGTTCATTGACTTGCAGATGGTTATCAACCAGCAGCTAATAAATAACATACAGTTTCGAACTTCAATTCACTTACAACATAATTTGCAAAAAGCTGTTCAAAATGTATTTCGTATTAGCTACTTAAGGTGTTTGTATGTGCTTTGTGTATTAAATAACCGTAAAAGCCAGCTTGGTGTAAAATTAAAGTCACTTAACTCCTATCATAAAAACTACGGATGATGCTACGGTTCATGGAAAAGATATGAGGCAGTGAAAGTCACTTAACCACTGTCTCATGAATAGCATTTACAATTATTAATATTTCTCAGTTGTTCATGCGATAATAACTCATGAGATACATTTATAAGAAATCGGTCTTTATCAACTTTAACGGATAGACTAAATGCTTCTCGCGCACGATATCTTGAAAGTGTTTTGATTCACTACTACCTTTAGCGACGATAGTTCATTCTGTTTTTCAGGTCACCTGTTCCATCCCATGGATGTCATCATTGAAAGGTCAGTATCAACAGGAAACGACCGTCGTTTTGAGGCAATACGCATCTGTTGTGATTAACTGCCGTAATTAGAGGTCTCTGAGTGTTACATTGAAAAACTGTGGACTGAAGTATGTTTGATTTCATGGTCCACCGATCAACTTGGTATCGATTGACAAAACTGCAAGTCTTAAGGTCTCCATTAAATACTATGGGTCATCACAGCGAGTGGAATCGATTTTCACACCAAAGTAACGGTCGTAGTCGTCAGCATACTAGTGTTTACGGTACGCACTAGTGATACCTGGTTGGTTCCAGGAATTCGGTCATGCATACTATGACTATGCCAATTGATAATTCAAACTGAAATACATGAGCACGTTAAACATTTATTGGTTTACTGTATTTCTATTGCTGTAAATTTAAAAGTAATAAATATATCTGAGTCATCATGATAGCTTCTGAATGTTGTCACTTAATGTATAAACTGTTGATATTTTACATAACCTAAATCAAATCTGAGCAGTTTAACGAGAATGGCCGACCAGACATTGATAAGGTTGGAGGCAGTTGTCTGTATGATGAGAATGTCTTTTTACACTCTGGTGTGTGTTTTATGGAGGAGTTGTATAACCGGTTAGATGGGTGTTAATTGCGATAAACAGCATTTCAAGCACACTGCTTCCCCCTATACTGCTGAATATTTGATGGTGAGGTCAACCTTGAAACATGTACATCCTGCCCTAACCTGCGGTTTGTCAGCATTGGTGACAAGTTCAACTGTATGATCATGGAGTACCTGACTAGTACTCGACTGGCTGGCGTTAAACTCATGTCGCTGGGGTTCTCCCGTCACTCAAAGGTAACTCACTTTCTCTTACAGAAATCCTTGAAATTCTTGACAAAAGCGACAAGTCCACAACCTACAATAAATACGATATTCTCACATATGGTAACACAGTGCGAACAAAACCAATATTTATGGTTGTCGTTGGTCCATGTTATCGGTTTTACGTTGTCTTTTAATAGTTGCAAATTTAACTTACACGTTCACTCGGTCAGAACCTCTGATACCTGTCAATAACAGACAACGGTTACTTATGTCTTAAATCTATAGGAATGAAATGAAACATAGAATAATATTATGTGCAACTACTATTCACATCAAACTGTAGTGCTTTCTAGTCGAATCGAAGTGATCTATTCACTTGACAGACATTTCATTCCGAAGCCTGTATCTGGTTATAGTCAGTTCAGCGAGGTGAGAATGAGATATTTATGAAGCATGAGTTTGGTGGTAAATGACCCAATTGTTTGGGTGTTGAGGCCTAAAGAGTTATTAAAAGACAGAAAATAGTTTAATTACTATAATGGAAATGTTTTTATAGAGTTTTGTGTTTACAGATATGAAAAAAAATAGTCCATTATAATAAGTCTCATCGCTTTTCCTCTCACGTTTGTCTCTTCCTAACAAATTTTGCTATAGATCTGATTTCTTGCGAGTTGATCACGGATTGATATCACTTAGAGAACCATCGGAAACCAGGGAGTACTCGACAGCCGTTTCATCCGAGTTTCGGAATCGTCGGCAGTACGCACACACTGGAGTTCGAACCCAGGACCTTCCGGTTACAAGGCGAGCTCGTATACCATTCCGCCATTGGGACCATTCAATGGCTCGTGAATTCTAACTTCCACCATTTCGTGATTTAGCGCAACCCCAACCAATGTCTCCAGTGGGACATCCATCCTCACACGTGGAGGATGGAGCTCTAATGAGAAGTCGTTACCAGTGAGGTCCATCCAGATGTCACGTGTGAGGATAGATGTCCTAATGGCGACATTGGTTGGGGTTGCGCTAAATCACGAAATGGTGGAAGTTAGAATTCACGAGCCATTGAATGGTCCCAATGGCGGAATGGTATACGAGCTCGCCTTGTAACCGGAAGGTCCTGGGTTCGAACTCCAGTGTGTGCGTACTGCCGACGATTCCGAAACTCGGATGAAACGGCTGTCGAGTACTCCCTGGTTTCCGATGGTTCTCTAAGTGATGTCAATCCGTAACCAACTCGTAAAAACAAAACTAACTTTTACAAACCAAACAATAGAAAATAGATCTGATTGATTTATCCTAATTGTTTGTTTGTGATTTCGTTTATGATCACACAAGTAGTCAGTCATAGCGTCCCGTTAAATCATTAGCGTTTACTGTAGAAACTATTTGATGAATAATTTAATTTAGGTGCATGCGATGTATCAACAGGCTTTGCAGCTCTGTCAGCGTGTTTCTGCTACTATTGGGTCCACCCAAAATGTCAACATCCAGGCACCACCGTTTGGCGTTCCTGTTGTTCCTTCCTCTTCAAAGGTATCTTCCCAACTTTTCCCAAATATTCAAACTTCTGTTTGTGTTCCTGACCGTTCAACAAATCTCTCATCATCCACACTAACTCCACTGCAGAAATCCCCCCAGGACATTGACCAAAGTTCCTGTCCAGCTACAATGATTTCTAATCAAACACATCTACCTGATATGCAAGTTGCTTATTCATTGGCTTACTCTGCTGCCTATCAGGAGACTATAAAATACATGTCTTCCAGTGTTGGTGGCAGTTTGGTACCTAATACTCCGGAGTACGCATCGCATTGGCATCGTTCTTTTAATTACTATTTGAATTACTACTTACAGGCTCATAACTTTACTTCGGAGTTAACTAATGGTCAACAAGCAGTCGATTTCCCTCTCACTGGCATTCCAAAACGTCCTCTTAATGATGAATCATCTGTGAGTCAACACTTTTTTTAAAAATGTATTCAAACTAGTCTCTTAGGATCTTTTTATCATCATAATTATTTGCATTACATATAAACTGGTTTGTTAGATAGGCGTGAAATGTGAGCACCACTTTGGAGTGTGGCGTGTGCAGCTCACGTTATCATCATATGTCAGAGTATCTATGAACCTCGACATCTTGAGGATTAGTAAATAGGTTGTAGATATTACTTTTTTATCCCTCAGTGATATGCTTTTTGAGCTTGTAACGTTTATGTCTTTCCTCTCTCAAACTTTGGTTATTCAGTTGCCTCAATCAGTGTGTAGGTTTTACTGCCGCCATCCTAATGGCTACTCTATTAAGAGTGCTACGTAGGGCTTCTTTCTTGTGTATGTTATACTCATCATTTGGATTACGTGTCCCTGAGAGTTTTCTTTCTCTTGTTTAGACATTTAAGTAATGTTGCCTGTACATAAATCGCACCAGATGACTCGAAGACTTGAGGTACGCCGTAATGTTGAAGTAGTTACCAAATTACTTCTCAGTCTACGCCGTCTGTCGAAGGCCTTTTCGAAGTTGAGGTGGAGTGAAGTTTGACCACCAGTCTATGCTTTGTTCTGTAATGGCGATGTATAGAGTTCAAATTTGATCAGCACATGATTCGCCTTTCCTGAATCCAGCTTGTTCCGATGAGGCCGGTGGAGTTGTGCATCCAGTGCGTCTTTATATTCTCTCCGAGATGATGTGACTTAGTATTTTACTTGGTGTGGACAAGAGTATTATTCCAGGTCAGCTGTTGCACAGGCCTAAGTCACCCTTCTTTGGCAGTTTGACGAGGAAGCTCTTCCTCCAGTCAGTGAGCATCTCTCCTTCTTTCCAAAGTTTTGCATCAGTGAAGTGAGAACATCTGCTGTAATCTCTTGGGGCGTCTTCATGGCTTCTGGAGGAATTCCGATTAGTCCTGCTGTCTTCTCGACCAGTATTCAGTAGCTTGATCACATTCAGGATCTCTCTCGTTGGAGGAGTGGTGTCCACTGTCATTTCCGTGTTTGCTGTTGATGGTATTTCTGGGCGCGATGGCGGTGGTGGTCGATTCAAGAGTCCTTTAAATTGATCAGTCCATGGTTCGATTTGTTTCTCCTCCTCCTCGGTAGTCAGGTTCCCTTGAGCATCTTTCATTGGTTTCATCATCTGGGTTGATCGAATTGTGATCTGTGTTCAGCCTGAACTCTGTCAACTTGATTTCGACGGTTCGACAAACTAGATTTTGAAAGATACCGGTCTGTGTATGCTCCTGTTTAAGATCTCGCACCCACTAAGCCGAGTAACAACTTTCTTGAGACTGGGATTATGTCTTCTGGACTTTTGGTGTGTCAATCCAGTGAGAGGCACGTCGTACCATGAATATCCTTGTAAATGCACGCGTTGCTGAAAGATACCATATCATTGGGGGTTCAGAAGTCTGAAAATTCGTCATTCATGTTACCAACCATCTCTTCGCCTATAGTGAGTTCATTCGTTTTGATTTGAATCATGGTGCCATGACCCCGTGTAAGGTCGTTTCTCACTGACCATATGGCCTCTAGGAGGCCCATGGCGATACCATGATGACTGAACAATTACTGTGTTCTCTCCTGTCATCTAGGTGGCTGTAGTTGACTATAGACTTTGGGCTGTCCGCTTCGGTCCCGTCTGCACTCTCAGACTCCGAGCACCTATATATCTTATCCTCCTATCCCCACAATTGCTTGATGACTGGTCTCAATTACTGTACGGAAATTCAATTCCACCGGAATTATTTGACATGCCTAAACCCAGCGGAGCACAGGCCTCTCTTTTTTGTGCTTTGTAGTTTGACTAGTGATAGTGTTATTTTAATAACGTTTTCTTCGCTCAATACTCAAGATCAGATGGCCGGCCAGGAAGAATCAGCAACAAGGACCTCTGGCAATGAGCGAACCAACACAGCAGGAACCGATTGTGAAACAAATAGGCAGGAAGAAATGGAGGTGGATTGGCTGGCCATACTCTGAGGAAACCATCAAGTGACGTCACTAGACAAGCCGCTGCTCGAGTGGAACCCGAAAGGGAAGCGGGCGGCGAGTTGGTCGTCAGTGCGAGAGTGGGGTGACTTGGAGGAGGTCATATGAAGAGGAGATGAAAGCATGTGGGCAGACTTGGAGCGGAGTGAAAAAGTTGGCAGAAAACCGAAGGCAATGGAGACGCGCAGCTGAAGCCCTATGTTCCTCCAGGAATTAAAGGATATAATAATAACACCTTCCACTTCACTGACCCAAGCAAATACGAGAAGACGTAGACCAGTGTGCGATTACAAGGATGTTTTTACTGATGGAATTTGATTCATGTTCATGCATTTCTAAGACATTAAATCTGGCTATATTAGTATTAAATAAGTTATTCTTGTTGACTGCAGCTAGTCATGGTTTGAACGTTGAAGTGAATAGGTTAAGCGATGAGTTCCAGTGGGGTTATTGTATCCAGATCTGAAAAGATCTCTTACCCCTGCAACCACTGGCTTCGAATATTGATTAGAATTTCGGCCGCTTCATAGCAGAACCTGAATTGTGATCTATTATAATTATAGAATTATTTCCTTGCGTTCCGAGTGGAACATAGGGTTTCAACAGCACATCTCCACTTTGTCCTATCTTCTGCTGTCGTCTTTGGCTGGGTCCACGGTTGACCAAACTCTCCAATCGCTTCCTCACACGATGTCCTTCGTGTCACCCTAGCACTACCCACTCGTCGCTTCCCACCTGGATTCCACTCAAATGAATGGCGTGTGATGTCATTCAGCGGCCTCTTCAATGTATGCTCGGTCCATCTCCAATTTCTCTTACATATTTGTTGAGTGATCGGCTCTAGGTTGATTTGTTCCCATAGTTTCCTGTGGCTTATTCTTTGTGGAAATTTCATCTTCAGTGTGGAGGAAGTGAAGGCAGATGTTGATAAAAGTGTCCAGTGGCTTGTCGGAGATGCTTTCCATGACACAATGCAAGTTTCTGACCCGTATAGAATAACCCGTTTCACATTGGTGTTGAAAATGCGAATCTTGTTTCTCAGGCTGAGTGCAGAAGATTTCCAAACTAGTTCCGGATTGATGAAGGTGTATCTTGCTTGCCTTTCCGATTTCGACTGTGGCATCTTCGTCTGTTGCCACTGGCTTTAGATGAAACGATGCTTCCTGGCCAGATAGGTGAAGGAGACAACCTCTATTAAATCTCTCCAGTTGGTGGTGATTGGTGCTGGTTGTTGTTGTTGCTGCTGTTGATTGGTTATTTTCATCACCTCCGTCTTCTCTGTGTTCACCTGCAGTCCTATTTTCGCTGTAGACCTCTTCAACCAGTCTGTTGGTTTTCGCTTGAAAGTCTTCGAGTTTCTGTGACAGTGGACATATATCAGCCACGCGCCAAATTAAGATCTTCTAGAGTCTTCTTATCGGTCGTCCAGCGTAATCCTGTCTTCTCGCTCCCCAACAGTCTGACGCGTAATCCAGTCCAACACAATTAGGAATATCATTAGTGATAATAGATAACCAGCTAGTCTTCGAACGCTTCTCTGAGATTCCCTTTGTGGATCACTTGACACGTGGCATCTTAATATAGCTGTTGAATGAGGCTGACAAAGACTTTAGGCACGCCGCAATGTTGAGGTAGTTACCAAATTACTTCTCAGTCTACGCCGTCTGTCGAAGGCCTTTTCGAAGTTGAGGTGGAGTGAAGTTTGACCACCAGTCTATGCTTTGTTCTGTAATGGCGATGTGTAGAGTTCAAATTTGATCAGCACATGATTCGCCTTTCCTGAATCCAGCTTGTTCCGATGAGGCCGGTGGAGTTGTGCATCCAGTGCGTCTTTATATTCTCTCCGAGATGATGTGACTTAGTATTTTACTTGGTGTGGACAAGAGTATTATTCCAGGTCAGCTGTTGCACAGGCCTAAGTCACCCTTCTTTGGCAGTTTGACGAGGAAGCTCTTCCTCCAGTCAGTGAGCATCTCTCCTTCTTTCCAAAGTTTTGCATCAGTGAAGTGAGAACATCTGCTGTAATCTCTTGGGGCGTCTTCATGGCTTCTGGAGGAATTCCGATTAGTCCTGCTGTCTTCTCGACCAGTATTCAGTAGCTTGATCACATTCAGGATCTCTCTCGTTGGAGGAGTGGTGTCCACTGTCATTTCCGTGTTTGCTGTTGATGGTATTTCTGGGCGCGATGGCGGTGGTGGTCGATTCAAGAGTCCTTTAAATTGATCAGTCCATGGTTCGATTTGTTTCTCCTCCTCCTCGGTAGTCAGGTTCCCTTGAGCATCTTTCATTGGTTTCATCATCTGGGTTGATCGAATTGTGATCTGTGTTCAGCCTGAACTCTGTCAACTTGATTTCGACGGTTCGACAAACTAGATTTTGAAAGATACCGGTCTGTGTATGCTCCTGTTTAAGATCTCGCACCCACTAAGCCGAGTAACAACTTTCTTGAGACTGGGATTATGTCTTCTGGACTTTTGGTGTGTCAATCCAGTGAGAGGCACGTCGTACCATGAATATCCTTGTAAATGCACGCGTTGCTGAAAGATACCATATCATTGGGGGTTCAGAAGTCTGAAAATTCGTCATTCATGTTACCAACCATCTCTTCGCCTATAGTGAGTTCATTCGTTTTGATTTGAATCATGGTGCCATGACCCCGTGTAAGGTCGTTTCTCACTGACCATATGGCCTCTAGGAGGCCCATGGCGATACCATGATGACTGAACAATTACTGTGTTCTCTCCTGTCATCTAGGTGGCTGTAGTTGACTATGGACTTTGCAATCTTTATATTATGTAACAACCCCTATCTCAGGCGTGAGGCCACGCTATAAACAAAGCTACCAGATAAACGTCCGCACCGTGTATGGGACTGTCAAAGCTTCCCAGATTGCAAATGGGACAAGAAGATACAGAATTCCAGTAGTGGGAATATGCGAAAGCAGATGGAAAGGAAGTGAAATCACCAAATTGTTAACTGGAAAGTTGATGATATACTCCATTCATCCAGGAGACAACCATGAGAACACCGAGGTGTGGCTATCATGATGTCCCCAACAGGAACGAAGGCCGTCATACAACGACAGGCGGCGATTTTGTCCGGGATAATGAGCGCCATATTCAACTGAAAAGGAAGGAATTTGACAATAATACAATTATATGGTATGCACCCACAAACAACACAGACCTCGGAAAGAAAGAAGAATTCTACAGACAACTACAGGCGACAATGGACAATACTACAGTCGGTGACATTAAATCCTAATGGGAGACATGGACGCCGAAGTCTATCTGTCTGTCTGTTTTCGACATAGAACTTTACACAAATGTGCACCAGTTCAAGTCGCCACACTCCATGTAGCACACAAATCAAGAGAAGAAAGTAAAAGAAAAGCATAATAGTGACAGTAAACAGAGGTGTGAGACAAAGGAAGAGTTATAACGAGGAGCAAAACAGCTTCATTGGAAATCATGTCACAGGGAGTGGATGCATCTGCGCCACTGAGAACGATTTTGAGCCATGTCACCAATTGTTTCCAACCATTTGTTTTCACCGTCCCGAGGACCCCAACCAGGAGGTCTACACCTTCCTACGTAGCTTAGACTAACTGTTGTAGATTTCATTGACTGGTGCCAAGTTTTTGTTTGACCTGAAGTGGGACGAGAGAACACAGGAAGAGGACTGATTATGGGTAGAGAAGCACTTGGAGAGATGAATGGAAACGGAGAACACTTTCATAGTAACTGCCCTTCATTTCTTTTATCACAATATTTGCAATCCGAAGTGGTGCCGTTGTTTTTCCTTACCCGCCTACAGTAGCTTATCTGTCCGCTGAATGTGACTTGTACATACCATAATTTTACAACCTTATAATAAATAATCAGCAATATTCTCCATTTTTATAGTGTATTCTTGATGATTCTAATTCACAGTCTATCATCCAAGATGCTACAAATAATCATGACTTCAAGCGCTCACGTCTTTCACCTGGTGGTGATGCATTCACTAGCATTCCATCAAACTCTATTGAGCATTCCTATATTCAGAATAAATCCCCTGGAACTAGCGATGGTGGAGATGATAACGGCTCGAAACGTGATTGTAAGTTATCTTGATGTTATTGGTGTTCATGAAATACACTTGATCTCATCATTTAAAAATTTCAACGATCTTGTTTCACTTGATTATAATTGATTATTGTGTGATCAAGTTGATAAGGTATTATATTATTAGTATTATGTCTATATAGTATAAGGCGTAGGGTGGTGATACTTGGTTGTATCTTTTGCGATACAACACTCCAAAGCTTATTTATATAGAACACCTGATAATGATGTTTTCTCTGGTTAGATCGCAAATCAGTCAATTATCAGTTATCTGTCATGCAGTAAGCATAACGGGGAAATGTTACAAGAATTGTGACCTTGGCTTGAATAACTGTGTGGTTTGTGTATTGTAGATAGATACATTAGATGTTGTGATGGCGAGCCAGTTTGTGCGGCATAAACGCCCGATGTCTCCATCTCGTTTTTAATTTTTTTTTAACATGGACATACTGGTGACTGTGGCTCTAATGGACTCTAGTTATCTTGGGACTAACTGACTTGCTAAAAGTAAGCAGTCTTGTCAAATTCGATCATTGTGTTGATCTGTCCTCCGATATGAAGACGTTCTCAGAGTTGAGGATCTTTTAAGTATTTTGAGCGGAAATCTTTTGTCATCATGCAATTCTCCCCTGTCAAATGTAGTAAGGTGATGGTGAAAGAGACATCTTCATTGACTACTAGTTTAAAGGTAGAAAGTAAAGTGAGTAGTTGTGAGTGTTGATCACGTCACTTATTTGAGAAGATGAATCAACCCTAATGGACTTGATTGTTGACGAAATTGTGGGACGGATAAAGAAGACTGATGTATCATTTGTCAACTCGCGTCATCTCTGGTGTAGACGTGATATCCGGCTATTGATCAGACGACATTTGCTTGTTGGAAGTGGTAAAGTTGAAGAAGTTCTGGTTGTTAATCGCCATCGGTGTCTACGTTTCATCTCCTTTGTTTAGTGTTATACTGTGATACACGAGGTTAACCTGAGTATGTTAGGCAACTCAGGCGATGAAGTTGTAGGGCTGAGTCAATTGAGATGGCTGTGAAACCTTGTGTATGCCAAGCTGTCGTGTCTTCCTCATTGAGCTATTTCAGTTGATATCAGATAAGGTTGGGAGGGAGTTCTAGGCGGTCAAATCAAATTCTGCCATCAATCCATGAAGTGTTTGACTTTTGGGGTGAATCGATTACAGTTATATTCATGTACCTGCTTTTGGTATTGTACTTTTATAGTTATTCCAATATCTTATCTTAAATATTTCGTGAGAACTTTGCTTAAGACGTGAAGTATTGGGAGATTTATGGCTTTCGATACTGTTTATCTCGTCTCTTTAATTTTGAAAGAGACAGGCAGTATTATGCATCGCTTTATATTTCCTTACATGAGGGTTTTAAGTATCAATAATGAAATGCTTTATGTACACATATTCTGTAGAATGTTTCTATCAGTTATGACTTTGAAAGGTGTCTGTTAGTCCCGAACTTCAATGGATTATATACATATATCTGTTTTGATGTACCAACTCGGTAGCTAATATGTCTCCTAAAAAAGCTGTATTGTATTGCAAAAATCGTTGAATACATCTGTACTGAATGTGTGTTCAAACCATGCTGAAGCCGTTTTTCACTGTACTGTGTTTATTCTGTTTAATGAGTGACTTCAACGAAAATTACCGACTTATCCGTGTAAGGTTCTATTTTAGATTTTCTACGCTTGATTTTCTCACAAGTATTTCTGGGAATATATTTATGGATACATTTCAGTTTCATTTTTTGTATTTTGTGTGCAGTATCCTCATCAAGATGTGTGTGGATCAGCAATGTTCCTCAAGGCGTTCGAGCATTAGATGTCAAAGAAATGTGTTCACCTTATGGGAAGGTGAGTTGTCTTTTTTACAGTCCTAACGTATATACATAGATAAATCCTGTAGACCTGCATATTTATTGAAAATTAGGGGAGATTGAGTGTGAGGCTATCAGCCTCCCAACTCCATCTTCGCCTACCAACTGACGTTCTCAGTAATTCATGTGACATACTGGTGTATTTTATTTGTTTACTCTGTGTATAAAAGTGATCTGTTTTGCATAGATTTGAGGGGATTACAAAAAGTCCTCCTATACACGAGTGTGCTTGTCTGATTTGCATATCTGGTAATTGTTTCGTATCTATGCTTCAGTATCCATATGATGATAAAAGGCGAATATGATCACTTATGGTTTCTTGTTGACAACAAGCAGTTGAACTACTTTTTGTCATGAAGTATGCCATTTGTTATTGTATGATTTCGACTTTCCTGATGGCCAATTTTCGGTGTGACTCTAAATGTTTGTCGTTGAGTTACCAGGCATTCTGAATTGTCTCTGCTTTCTTCTCCCTCTGTCTATCTCTCTCTCTCAGGTTCAAAGCATAAAAATTGTCAAGAGTAAAAAAAGTCGATCGCCGTCTATTTTCGCTTATCTAATCATGGAAACTTCAGAAGCTGCAGTCCGTCTTGTACAAGGTTTACAGGGGGTGAAGTATTTTCAGAATGAATTGAAAGTCAAGCAGGTATGTTTCGATGTATTTCTTAACTGTAATATTTGAAGTGTTGAGATACAGTTTTCTGTACTGTCGTATAGCTACTGTGGTAGAAGCTTCATGGGAAACATATGCGAGTTAGGCGAAACTTGTTAGTCATTAGTTTAACTGGCTGACCCTAAACACAGACGTAATGAACCTTCAATTCGTTATCAGTACATTGTAGATTGAAGTCCTGTAAGACAGCATAACCGGATTGAATTCCTCCTTCAGCACTGGAAACGTCCAGAAGCAGTGATGGATGTGCTCATGCTACTATTGCACAAAGTTTGAAAGAAAGAAGGGCGACTACCTTGTAACAACAGAAGACTAGGGCTAGGCAACAGATTGTTCATTGAGACAATGAAGAGATATTTATAGATTTTTATGTACATTGTTGTCAGCGGAGAAGCGACGTCTTCTGATTGGCTGTTCTCTTGCTGAAGGTTATTCTGTACTGCGGCTTGTGACCATTTCCCAGAAATTAAACCCAAATATCCAGAAACAATTAGCTACAAGAAATTCTGGGTACGAACCAGTCAAGAATGTGTTGCACGACGAAGATGCAGAAGGAAATGTAGGTGGATCGGAGACACCCTGATTAGACCGTCGGGTGACATCACACACCAAGCCCTCAGTCGGGAAACGATGAGTTGGGCGTCGTGAGGTGACTTGGAAGTGATTATTTGAGGGGGGATTAGAGTTTCTGGGTAATCGTTTGGTCAGAGGAGGAAGACTACAGAGAAGAGGAAAAAGTGGGGATGTGCTGCTGAAGTCCGAAGGAATAAGAATTATATTGTGACTGTTTCTGACGGTGTTTTTTGGTACCACCGACCTTTATTCAGATGTCCACTCTTCAGCACCAAAGGCAATTATTCAGGTTTATCTCTTTGAACCTGGATATTTGTGCCACATCACTTACCTGTGTGAGATTGGGAGCAGTATGGAAGGGAATTGAGCATTCTTTAATGAACGCGTGCATCACTTTTCATAGGTATTTATCTACAATGTGAGTCTTTTCGAAAACTATTAAGTTTGCCTTCAATAGTTAATTCATCGTACTCTGATGATAGTGGTGGACCACTACACCTGTGGCGAGTGGTGCTGACAAGACTTATAAGTAGTATATAAGTGCATATATTAATAAGTACGTCATAGGCACAGCTAGATACCAAGAAGATAAGTACAACACCATATCATCCAAAAACTAATGGTTTAACAGAGAGAGAACTAACCGTTCACTGAAGGAGTAACTGGCCTGAAGGGGAAACATAACGTGTGAATCCGGAGATCAATCAGAGAGTAGAAAAAGAAAGTACATGGTTGGCTATGGACTAGGTTTGAGGAAACGCCTTCCAAAGTGGAAAGGACTGTACACTGTCACCGACAGACATGGTGGCCTTTATACCATCAGGATGGGTGACAAATACCAACGTGTTAACGTTAGCCAACTCCAGAGATGGATAAAGCGTGTTAGGGAAACCGGTGACAGGATACAACAAGAGTAGGTAGCATCGAGAAGGTCGGGGCGGATCCCGTCGAAAGTAATTGTGACTGGTGAGGGAGTAATTGTGCACTGGTCTACATAAGCTACCTCTGCTACATTGTAGATTTCTTCTGAGAACTCTGGACTGATTGTTAAACGAAAACGTCAGTAAAGAGATCTCTTTTCATAACTTCACTTCAAAGCGGTGTACAGCTATTTAGATGTTTGCTATACACAGGTGCGTCTGTAGTCCAGTAGTAGAATACTCGCCTACTAGGCAGGCATGTAGCCCGAAGTCTGATCGCCGGCTGGCGCACTCCTAAATCTCGCGTAGCCGGTGAGAATTGGAGGAAGATTAGGCGAGTGAGGTTAGCTACCTCACTTGATAAAAAAGAAATACCTCTGCTAGTGATAGTTCGAAACTCAGGCTTCATGACTTATGTTCCAGTCGGATTGCAAGGCAATACAATGATTGCGCATAGTCAGTATCAGAGATTATTGTCAGTTCATGACCAAATAGGTCAGTATGTATGAGAAATAACAGAGTTGACAACTGATTAGTTCAGTGGATAGTCAGTCAGTCAGCTGATAGTAAACTCTTTCGAACGAGAGCGAAAATAGGTGATTTTATAGGACAACGCAATAGAATAATAAAATTGACGCCTGAGAGCATGGTGGTAAAATCGGAATAATAATAATTTTTTGAGTTTGTTTCTCCTCGGAAGTGAGACCCTTTGTTAGCTTAATAATTGCACCACATGGCAGTTCCACACACCCTAAATCCGAACGCTTTTGTGCATAGCCTCCTGGTAAGTTGACAGCGCATGTCGAGCTGATAATCTCATCATGAATTCTCATACTTGCAGCTATGGTGGTTTCTGACTTCACTTCATATTTCCTATCATTTTCAGATTAATGCAATTCGTTTCCCCTAACCAGAACTGCTGACTGCGAGATTCTTCTAAATTGTTAAGTATTTTTTATCTAAATTTGTTCAATGAATTTATTACTTTTGTATTATTGTTTGTACACATTTTATTTCCTCGATGCATTTATTTGATTTTCAGGTAATGCTGTGTATTTTCTTAGTGATTTTTAAAAAACGTGTGTGAAAATGTCTACTTTTTTCGTTTGTTTTCTTTGAATCTTCTCAACACCTTCAAATTTTAAGAATTATATCTATGTATAATATCCATCATGTGATATTCCCGTTGCCTGTGTATACGTAGAGACAATCAAATTTGAGTTTGGTTAATCAGTTGCCAGGTTTTTATTTTGTATTTATTTGGAAGCAGTCAATGGAGGCTGTTTCTTGCTGCATCTGTACATGTATATTACCTTGTTAAGACAATTTGTGTAAATTACTTAAATATCTTTCTTCTTCACATTTTCTTTTGGATTATTCCTTTCACTTAGTTACTTTCAATGCAATCAACCAGTTCACTGAATTTTCTTGTTGTTATCACCACCAGTCACAATAAGCAACAAGGAGGAACTAGAGGAGACAAGAATAATAATAATACTAATTTATTCGAAGAGGATAGATGGGATTGACTCAGTGGGACCTCTATTATCGAGTCTTTAGGCCTATATTCCTTATAAGTAAACTAGTGATATTGGTACTCACTTTTTATGCAGGATCGGTAGCTGTGATATCTCTGTACACGTTACAAACGAACTTTGGATACATAATGGAATTGCAAAAGACACTAGTAATAGTTGAATAGCGCATTCATCATAAAGAGAATGTCAGTTAAGGGACGGATTGCAAGAAGGTAATTATGGTATCACTAGAATTACCCAAGTGACCGTTTTCGATTTAAGAGAACTCACCGCTGCAACTTGATATTGTCTTTTTCTCGGATTCTCGAGCCCATGTACCCTCCGGGTTTGCAACCAGTTTTCTTCGGTTCCCCTAGCTAGGCCAGCACGTTACACTCACCCTATTTTGGGGGAATACTCACATGGCATGAAGGCGGTGAGAAGGAGTTACCACGCAGATAGTGTGAACTAGCGGCCACATGATTGCATTGCGTGTTTCTTCCTAGCCTTCAGAAATATATTTAGGGTAATAAATGTCTCTGTAAACGACGAACATTTTTCACGGTAACAAGATACAATTCGTTGTTATATTGAAAGCCAAATATGGGACAGATGAATTTTCACGTGGAATAATACAGTGGTTGTAAAATCATATTAGTTCCGTGTTGTATGGTGACATGGTAAGGAGTACTCGGATGATAACAAGTGTGATGGACTAAATTCAATCCCATAATGGATGGCGACAATCGAACATAACTTATGCAGTATGAAGCGTTATGTAGTTGAAGACTAGGCAGAAATTTGGTGAGTACAACTGTAGTGCGTCAGTGACACAGCGGTTAAGACGCTCGTCGACCAAGGACATGGTAATGGGTTCGGACTCCACCCGACTCACACCTGGTATCAATTATCGACGTGCTAATTTTGGCCTACCGATATCACCTGCTTAAAATTTCATACTTGTTTCAAAAATACTGTGTGGAGTCAAGCTATAATAAAAGATTAAAAAATAATAAGTATGCACTGAATAGAGGAGAATAAGACAACAGTGAATACTTCATGCAATAATGTATGTGAAATAGATAATGAGGAGTGATACCACGAGCAATGTATGCGAGTGACTCTCTGCATGACAAGAACTGAAAGTATGCTCAAACAAAAGCCATAAATGCTGAAATAGTATGGTAGAAAGAAAAAGCGAAGGGAAGAAGAGACATCTAAATGGTCGAGGTATTACTCAGTAAGGATTGACATGGCAAATCTTGTAAGCACCCGAATACAAAGTGCTGACTTTGTCTGTCTTACTACCGTGTATTCAGCTTTATCTAGGAGAAGTAGAGAGTCCGTGTGATGTTCTGAGTCTACTAAGTTTAGCACAAATCACTTTACTTTTTCCTCTTTACTATAAGCCAGATATATATTTATCAAACCTCGCCATCTATAGAAACTCAAAGACAGTAACAAACTGTATCAAGGGACTGACAAATTAGATATCCTCAGTTGGCCTTACCACCATATTGGCTGGCCGACTCCCACCGGTTTATTTTTCTTGTCGAAATCATCTCTATCGTTATTAGTAGACTTATTGTATTTAGAGTGTGGACAGTGTAGTTATTGTGATATTCAGCCTGCTAATTTGAATCAATGGCAAGGCTGTCGACTCCGTCGAGGAAAATATTTGGAATGATAATTGTATGCAAAAGTGTTTGACAGCGGGCAAACGGAACTATGAATATAGTTAGTGCACGAGGTACTTCTTGTAATAATACAGTCGAATATGATAGGACTGGCTTATAATTTCCCTGGATAAAATATCAAGTGACTGGTCAGGCCTCAATGATACACCCCACACCTTGTGATGAAAGTGCTATATGAGCATGCTAGTATGTTGTTTTATTCGTTCCCTTTGATTTCCTGCATTCTGTCCATTAATAATTTTTGTCTCATAGTAGGTTTGGTTTATAATACGTGTTTTGATAATTTAAAATTTTAGCTGTAAATTCCTCTTCACTTAATCTGGGTTGTGTATTCCAACGAAGTATGCCTTTCGTAAGTGGGTCCAACTGGAACAAGGATTTATTGAATTCATGAGGGTAAAAATTGACTGTTTGATTGCTTCTTTAAAAAGAATGAAATACCTCATGCCTAGTTGCTTCAAGTTGTTTACTCCAATGAAATACGGTTACCTGCAGTATGAACGCACTTCTTCAGGTCACCGTATAACTCGAAGTGGCGGTTTGAGTGTAAGTTGGTTGTGTATGTAGGAATATAATTGTTGTAGGCGAGCTTAGTGTTGGATGCCAGTCCGTCACATGTGATTGTATCCTGCTGAACTGTATGTAAACACCTATGCACCAAGACGCATTCAGACGTAGATTGTCAGAAGATGAGATGTGTAGCGTGCAGCCACTCATTGGAAAGAATACTGGTGTTTATGGAATAATGCATTTGGTACATTCATGGAGTGGTGGAGTCGGTTTTAGCTCGAAAGTCGTTTTTGTCCACCATAATATGGTTAGTTTGTGCCACAGGTATCCCCAAGTGGAGCACCTACAAACCAATGAGAGTAGGAAATTACAAATATGGGTGGGTAGGCGTACACTCTTTGGTCAGTGGCACAGCGGTTAAGACGCTCGCCGACAATGCACATGAAAACGTGGCTTAGAAGGCAGTTTAAAATGAAATTAATATGCGTCATATTTGTCACACATTCATCAGCTGGAGCATAGTTGTCGTTAGGAAATGGTAGACAGGTGTTTGTGTGTGTGTGTTAGAATTTGTCGACACTTCGAGATCTAAAGAAATTTTAATTATAGATTCTTCATGCGATGACAACATAAGGATGAAGTATTACGGTTTTAATCCTCTTATACCTTGTTCAACTGCGAAATCCACAACCCGTGCTATTTTTCAGCATTGGACAAATAAGGAGTTCCATTTTGAACATCAAAACCTCAGTAATAGGCGTTTATCTATATCGCTTGCATATTTCGGTTTCGTTTACTCACACTGACTAGCTAAGGCTACTGTGTGCAAAGTGTCAGACACTTGCCAAACTGTATGACCAATCAAGATTTAACTAGATTCAAGAACCATGCAAGCGTATAAATCGAATCATCTAAATTTCAGCACTTATCATGAACATCATAAGAATCAGTGGTGTTAAGAAGAACAACCGTTTCTAACCAGGGGTCAGGGTTGTTGCGTGCGCTGATACGATAGCATAGTTGGGTACCCTCAATGTCACACAATCAATCAGGTGTCATTTATTTATGGCAAGAATTTCCGTAGGATTTGTAAACCATATATACCATGCATTTGTAATAGTGGAAAGGTTGTTACAACTAAATCTGAATTTAACTAATTAAAATTTTTCAAAAGAATGATTACCGAACAGAGAACTTTCTTTTCGATAACTTCATCATCAGGTTCTGTAGTTAAACATACACAATAGTGAATGATTTTTCGTGCTCGAGAACATTAGGCAATACACTTTATTTGTATGCGTCATGAAAATTAACACTTTACACTTCCTTTACTAGAGTGTTAAGTAGGTAGATAAAACAATGGACGACGTTTGAGTAAAAGTAGACAAGCTATTGATAGTGGACATGGAGTGTGTGTGTGAGAGAGTCGACCACCGATTTATTCTCAAGGGATAAATTTTGTTCAGTGTTGTTGTGTGGCGAAGTAAAGGTGTGGTAGAAACCATCAACAGTTCGATATTTGACCACCTGGTCCCAACCGACTACAAAGCCAGCCGGCATTGAAGAATCTATCGGGTACCAAATGAATTGCCAAAAACATCCAGGTACCGCATGCTCCAAACAGTAGATTCTATGGCGATTCACGTGAATCAACTAATGCTTTGTGTACGGAAGAAGCAAATCCAGCCACTTCTACTGCCCTGGTCGGCCTTCAGTGGAGACTATAAATTCATGAATTTGTATTATTGTTTCCCCTAATTTTTTCTGAAATTCAGTGTATTGTTATGTTGATGCTATCTAACTGTAATCCATTCGTATTATTATTGTTGTTATTGATTCAATGTTATGTAAACGTTAGTGCTGTTAATAACACTAATTCATTAACTACTGTGCATATATCAGTGTAGAACCTGATGACGAGGTTATCGAAATGAATGTTCTTCGAACGCATTAGTGAAAATACAGTGACTATTTTAGTAGGCTTTTAGCCATTATTTAATGCAAGCTTCAGTTTAGGCTGAGGACAGGTTAGGGTTCAGGGATATCTTCACGTTAGTTAAGTGAAGATTAGGGTTAAAAGACTAGATAATTGCTAGCAGAGAATGTGGTTAAATTACTCTGTTGGAAGTCCGATCCAAAAGTAATAGGTGTTTGTGTCACACGTCGGAGATGGGTATTATGTGTAACAGTTTCATTATTTTCATGAATGTATATGCGCTTAAAGATTAGCTTTTCCCTAATATCAGTTGTCAGCTTTATTTGCATACTTGAAAGTGCTGTAAACCCGTATTCTGAGTTTCCCAAATAAAAGCATCTGGGGAAAACTCAATGCATCATTTTCACCCAAAACTTCAAAATCACCCTAGACTTCATTTCAGTCATAAAGCATTTGTATGACTTTGAACTTTTATCTATATTATGGGCATTAAAGTCACATCTGAACACTAGTGGAACACTGTAGTTTATAATAATACTTTTGAACACAATAACATCTGTTGAGTACGTAACAATGTGATTGTACACTTTTTGGTTACTTGTATAAATTCGAGATATTGTACATAATTTTTGTTTAAAACGCTTCTTGTTGAAATATACATAACTTCCGTGTACAATTGAAAAAATACACTCTGCTGTTGGAGACTTCGTCTTCTCCCTGGTCACTTCTGCTTACTTGCTCCACTCACACCGTGTTGTATACTTCGGATTTATTGTAGGAGCCTACTACTTTCAACCGAAGACATTTCTACAACCGGAACACAGCAGACGCAGTCCAAACAGTTAACGTGCCTGTGGATTATATAATTAATTTGTAGCCGAGGACTTATACTTTATAACCAAGTAATCCTTTTTGTTGCTATAACTCGTCACTGTATTTTTGGTAATATATTGTGATTTAACACTCCACTGACTTGGATTATTACTTTTATATTTGGAATGTTAGTGAACTCTAATATTAGTCCCCTACACATCCATTGTATTTTATCATACGACCCCAGTCGGACAAAAAGCGAAATTTCCGATAATAGGATGACGAAAACAGGGAGACCTTTTCAGGGGTGGAAATAAATCAAATACAGGCAACAAAAAGTCGATGATATTTTTGAAGTGGGGAATAATTAGAATAAAAGCGACAGAAAGGGAAGAACCTAGAAATTGCCCTATCCGTCGGAGCTTACTGATGAATTGTTAGTAGTGTGAGGATTTTCCTCTAATTTTCGTTTTCTGTAATTCAGTTGAGATTTTATTGCGTATATAATTTCCTATGCTAACTCTGTCACGAAATCCAACAAGCATTGCACAGAACGAAACACTTATGTTTAAAAATGGGGGCGTAAGTAGAAGTAAACCGACAATTTACTTATTTTTCGTGGTCGGCTTGTAATCGGATACACTCACACGAATAAAAAAGATAGCGTTGGGAGACAGACACACGCATACGTTCACCCGAAATTTGTTATTGGGACTTTAAAGATGATCTTTGATGTAGTTGTGTTCTCCGAACTGGGTGGTTTTTTTGCGAAGCTTTCATTGCCCCACCAGGCGACAGCTTCAGCGCACACTTCAATTTGAATTGAGGTGAGATTTCAGATCTTTCCACGAGTTTATTAGCCATCTCTCCTGATGACTCGCAACATGATTAGCTGTT